GCAGCACGCCACGTGATCACCATTAATTCCAGATGTATCTTCCAGACGCTGAATCAAGTGCTGAGCCATGGACCTCGGAAAAGCCAAGCTGCTCCTGTGGGCCAGGATGCTCATGCTGTGGGGTGAGTGATCCTCTTTCTTCACAGCATGCGAAGTTCAGCACCTAACTATGGGTAACGCCGAGGACTTTGTCCCCCTTCCCATCCCTGATCTGGGACAGAAACCAGGAGCCCTGACGGGGTTATCATATGGCAGGGAGCAGGATGGAATGCTCACGGGGCGCGGGGCCGCAAGCTGCACTGAGTGGAGTCAGTGGAGGGTGCTGACCTGTGAAGAGTGGGCCAGGGGCTCAGCAGGGGGCGCTGGATGGCAGGGACTGTGGAGGGGGCTCAGCAGAAGGAGTTGTGCTTTGGGCAGCAGGCAGGGGCTCAGGGAGTGGGGTGGGAGCTCAGGAGCGGCACTGGACTGCAAGAAGTGAGGGGGTTCTCTGTAGGAGTCATTGTGCTTCTCGGAGCAGGGTGGGGGACTTATCTGGGGTTGCATTTCCCTTGCAGTCAGTGTTGATCCAAGCAGAATTGGAGCCCCTGAGCCCCTGTCCAGGGCCCTTATTTTTCTTTTGTCCTAAGACTCAGCAATAACAGACAGCATGAGCCAGCAGATCCTTGTGGTCTTAGTGCTTCAGTTCATGGCAATGGCCATGGCTCCCTTTATAACCCATGCACTCCCCAGCTGTTCACTGCACTGAGAGCTGCAATGCAGCTGGCACCAAATGACAACAATCTGTCTCATCACACGTGTGTTAGGCTCCCGGACCAACTTCCTAGCAAATGACAACAATCCGTCTCATCACGCGTGTGTTAGGCTCCCGGACCAACTTCCAAACAAGCCCTTTTGTTCCTTTCACCTCGCTGCCTGTACAGTCAGCAGCAGTGCCCCCCTCCTTCCGCCCCAGCCCTCACAAAGCCGCCTCATTCTCCACCTTCCAGTCCTCCTCAAAACTCTCCTTTGCCACGAGGACCACAAAAAACGGGACAGTGGTTACACCGCTGGTTCATCTGACAACTCACCATGCGGAGCGCTGCTGTCTCACTGGTTGCTGCCTTGTGTTCCCCCATCTGTCTGTGTCCATCTGTGATCACTTGTCTTAGACATAGTTCATAACCTCACCTTTTTGTACTGATTGCACAGTGCCTAGTGCCAGGGTCCATGGCTGGTAACGTGATTCCTCTAACAGCAGTTGTCTTCTCTTCTACCTGTTTCTCCAGGCATGTTTAACCTTCCTCTCCCTGTAGCGTCTGGAGAGATTCCAGGGTCTTCCCCTCCAAGCCTTCTTGGAAGAGAATTCATCACGGCCTTCATGCAGAACGACTTACAGCCCACGCTCAGCAGCGACTTCCGGCTGCTCATCACAGCCTATGACCCAGCCACGTTGATCACCATCTCCATGAAGAAGCCAGCACTCAGGGTGTCTGTCCAGGCGAGTGCTGGCCAGACTGTAACGGTGAAGATCCCACCCAATGCTGAGATGACAGGGTCCACAGTCTTCGACAACACGGTTGTTGTCCGGGCTGATAGTGACATCTCTGTCCTTTTGTTCAATTCCAAATCCAACTCAGCTGACACCACCCCAGTCTACCCGGTGCACAGCCTGGGAACAGAGTATTACGTCATCACGCCGACAGTGGGCACTGATCGCTATAGAGAGTTTGCCATTGTGGCCTGGGAGGGCCCCACCACAGTTGAGGTCTACCTGAAAGGGGCTGTCATTTTCCAAGGAAAGACACACGCTAGAGGGAGCAAACTCACCATCAAGCTGGAGGCGCATCAGGCTGCCCAGCTGCAGAGCCCAGTGGATGTATCTGGCACCAGAATTGTTTCCCAGAAGCCTGTGGCTGTCTACGTTGGACACACCTGTGTGACAAGAGCCACCCAGTGCGACCATGTGTCTGAGCAGCTCCTGCCTGTCTCCAGCTGGGGGACCAGCTTCATTGTGCCCTCATTGTCCTCTGAGAGGCAGCATGATTTCCTCTACGTCGCCACCTCCCAAACAACTCAGGTGGAAGTTCAATCTGGGAGGAGCAAGATCAGCAGAGCGCTGACAGCTGAGCAGGTTATGTTGTATGGAATCCCTGGCTCCACTGCCTTGTTCTTCTCTGCTAATGCCAGGGTCCAACTCATGTTCTTCTCCAATGGCGGGACCAAAGGAAACATCAGATACGATCCATTCTTCATGGCCATCCCGGCCATCTCAAGCTACTGCCAGTCCTATCACATCTACGGGTTCGATGACTTTGAGAACTACGCACTGATCATTGCCAAGACATCCGAGTCTGCAGGGGTAACCATTGATAAGAGACCACTGCACAACGTCCTGTGGAAGCCAGTTCTAGGCACAGAATACTCCTGGGCAGAATACAGCCTGGGCAAAGGGTTCCAGGCCCATAGCATGGAGCATGGCAGCTCCCCCTTTGGCCTGCTGAGCGTCGGGATTGGAAACCAAAAGGCGTTTGGCTCCCCAGCCATTTGTGCCAGCAGTGAGTACAGTGTTGTGAATCCTCACCCCTCTGCTTAGCACCTTTCTTCTTTCCCTTGAGTCAGCCTCAGGATTGTTCTCTGTGAACACGACAGAGAGATACACACCATGGTGGGAGAGGAGTCATTTAAGGCCCAGTGCTGGTACAAGAACAAATGGATAGAACCTGGCCATGAATAAAGTTAGGGAAGGCATTAGATGAAGGTTTCTAACCCTCAGAGTAGTGTAGTTCTGGAACAGCCTCCCAAGGGGAGCAGCGGGGAAAGCCTGAACTTGTTTAAGACGGAACTTGGTACATTTATGGAGGTGGGATAAAGCTGCTACAAGGGCATGTTGGCCATTGGCAACTGCTGATAGCAAATATCTGTCACAGCCAATGATGGGAAACTCGATGAGGAGAGCTCTGAGGTTTTGTCTACACAGAAGCATTATTTTGACGTTATTCCAAAATAACAGAGTGGTCTGCACAATGACCCCAGTATTTCAAAATAACTTTGAAGTAACTGACTTCTTACTCTGACTCCTATAACACAGATTTCACCCAGTGTAAGGGAAGTAGGGGGAAGAGTGATCTTCCTTTGACTTCTTGCTGTGTAGACAGCACCAAAAGACGAATTAAGCTATTTCGACTTCAGCTACACAATTGACATAGCTCAGGTTACATAGCTTAGATTGATTTTTGTTCTGCTGCGTAGACGTGCCCTGAGTTAACATAGCAAATTTATCCCCGTGTGTCCAGCATATGATCAGAGTCTGATTGGCCACCAGATTTGGGGTCAGGAAGAAATAGCAGAGACTCAGGGGATGGGGGGTAGGCTTGATTTCCCCTGCAGAATGGGGTTTGGGGCACTTGCTGGTTTCAACTAGACTAAATGGTCACACTAGGGTACAAAATACATCACAGGGAAAGAACAGGTCATACTGGTGGGGGAGTGGAAATGTGAAATAAAATGTAGAATCAACGTAAAAATCTTAAATGAACCAAAATATTCCATAGAATCTGTATAGATAGTAATTCCTTGCTCTAATAATAAGAATATAGCAGTAGGGATATATTACTGACCATCTGATGAGGACAGTAAGGGTGTGTCTAAACTACATGGCTCCATTGATGGAGACATGTAGATTAGGCTGATCGGCAAAGGGAAATGAAGCCGCGATTTAAATAATCGCGGCTTCATTTAAATTTAAATGGCTGCCGCGCTGAGCCAACAAACAGCTGATCAGGTGTTTGTCGGCTCAGCACGCTAGTCTGGATGCTCCTGTGCCAACCTGAAAGCCCTTTATCAACCTCCCCGTTATGCCTCGTAGGATGAGGTTTACCAGGGAGGTCGATAAAGGGCTTTCATGTTGGCAGGGGAGTGTCCAGACTAGCACGCTGAGCCGACAAACAGCTGATCAGCTGTTTGTTGGCTCAGCGCGGCAGCCATTTAAATTTAAATGAAGCAGCGATTATTTAAATTGCGGCTTCATTTCCCTTTGCCGAACAAACAAATCTACATGGCTTCATCGATGGAGATTAGAAAATGCTAAGGGAAATTAGAAAAGTTGTTAAAATAAAAAACTCTGTTATAGTGGGGGATTTCAACTACCCCCATATTGACTGGGTGTACGTCACCTCAGGACAGGATGCAGAGATAAAATTTCTTGATACTTTAAATGACTGCTTCTTGGAGCAGCTGCTTCTGGAGCCCACAAGGGGAGAGGTTATTCTCAATTTAGTCTAAGTGGAGTGCAGGATCTGGTCCAAGAGGTAAATATAACTAGACTGGTTGGAAATAGTGACCATAATGTAATAAAATGTAACATTCCTGTGGTAGGGAAAACACCTCAGCAGCCCAACACTGTGGCAATTAATTTCAGAAAGGGGAACGACACAAAAATGAGGAGGTTAGTTAAACAAAATTAAAAGGTACGGTGCCAAAAGTAAAATCCCTGCAAACTTCATGAAACTTTTCAAAGACTCCATGATAGATGCCCAACTTAAATGTATATCCCAAATTAAAGAACACAGTAAGAGAACCAAAAAGTGCCACTGTGGCTTAATAAACAAGTAGAAGAAGGCATGAGAGATAAAAAGGCATTGTTTAAAAAGTGGAAGTCAAATCCTAGTGAGGAAAATGGAAAGGAGCATAAACTCTGTCAAATTAAGTGTAAAAATCATATATATAGTAGCCCAATGTCTGTGAGTCTGTAATGCTGATGTACTCGGCCCCGCCCCCTAGCCATGTACGTCAGGGCCCCGCCCCCCTTCCCCTCCTTCCAGGGGCGGGTGCTGCGCTGCTCAGCTGGGCGGCGGCGGGGGAGCAAGCGGTGGCAAGAGGCCCTTTGGGGTCCGGCTGTGGCCAGTGGCT